GTATGTATGTATGTATGTATGTATGTATGTATGTATGTATGTATGTATGTATGTATGTATGTGTGTGTGCATATATGTTCATTTAATCAAGTTTGTATGTAGATCAAGCATACCCTTCTGACAGGACTTCAAGTCTATCTTAATTTCAGCATATTCGGCTTGATATTGAGATTTGTGGACGGTTACATAGGGAACTAGCCGATAAGCATGTCGTAATTATTGTTTCAGCTTTTAAACATGGCTTAACACAACAAAGGAAAAGACATACAGGATAAGGGATGTCCAAAAGAATATTGAGGAAATGACAAATGTGAATAAGTAGCAAGTTTACTTTGTTGAAAGGCGGAAAATAAAAAATTCTTACATTGAAGAGGAGCTAGCAACCGAGTTAAATGAGTAAAATATAAATAATGCCAATTAGGTGAGGACAGAGGATTACATTGCTTAAAAAGATAGAAAGGAATGACCTACTGATAGTATGATGTAACTAGCCAGATGGTATGGTATAATAATAGTAGTTTGATATCATGTATCCATTTATAGTTGGATAGAGGAGTAGAAGTATGACAAGGAACAAAGGTTGATGATAGAGGACGAAAACAGATATACGAGTAAAGAGGTTATTAGGGAAAAAAGACAGCATAAAGATATGACTGAAGACAGGGGTACATGCTTGAACTGTGGAAAATTAAACCAGGCTTGCTAAAGCAGGAGGATTACCTTGACTGCATGAGGAGAGTGACAATGACCGGATGGTAGATGCGGCCAAAATGATCAATCACTTCAAGACAAGGAGGTTTGTCCCCGGAAGACCAACTGCGTCTTGCCAGTTTACTCAACCATGATATCTCCATGGATTTCAGACCTACAGCTCCCTGGAACAGGGACCAGTCAGGTGTACTATTGCCTTCACATCGGCCACTTCGACCGAATAGATGCCACACCAAAGAGGGCCGGTGTCTCCGAAGTCGGCGAAGTGGAGATGGATAACGTCCCTGCAAGTCGGTAGAAAAAAAGATTGGACTCTGGCGGAATAACAAATGATCTTTAAAATTAATTCGCCTCCAGATTTTATTTTCAATTTTAGTCCCTGTTCAGCCTGAGTAATGACAGGAAAGTCATTTTAGTTGCATAGTAAAAAATGAGAATCATCTCAACTAAGAGCACTATCAGTAAGCATTCTAGTTATAAGGTCTTGCCGAAACCAATTCCTGCGGAGAATGGGAAGCGAGAAGAGTCTCAGAGCCTCGACTGGATACCGTCGAGGTGACTTAAGAGGTCTGAATAGGGTCAGCGACTTGAAGAAAAAAGCAGGTTGTTTGCGTTTGTCCATGCCGCCTGCGACTATTTAACCTGCTAGCCTCCTTCTACTCACCTTGCCGAGTGTCAACAAGCTCTCTGGCTCGATTCCGGACGTTTTTCGTCTGTCAGCTACGTCGTGTCTGCCCTCCAACTCCAAGACCGCTTCTGGCGGACTCGATAATTCGTCGTCTTTCATTTGGTCCCGCATCGGGCAGTGGCACGCCAGGCAACCCATCGTACCACCATCACAGCAAACGCAAATGGAATGAGGAACATTGGGGCACGATCTGGAAGGCAATGCATAAATCAATTAATATTGGTCTGCCAGGCAGAAGTGGCGAATTCAGAAAAAGGTATTTACAGAACTATACACAAGACAATCTGAAAGCCTACTTTACTAATGCTTGCGTCAGAATATTTATGCACAACCTTGTTTTTTCCCGTCGCTAAATCTTGAACTGTTTATAAATTCTGCTTTGGATAGGATTTTCGGCGAAAACGAATCGCGATATAATTAGCCCAATGACAAGATAAAAGGTAGGCGGAATAAGTAACAAAGTCATCGAGAGTAATAACCAATCTTACGCAAACGTTTAAGGAGGGTGGTCGGATTGTAGGGATCCTAGGAGCAACAAGAAATTCCACCAAGAAAGCATAAAATTAAGATCATTAGATGAGAAGACTGAGTGCCGAATGCATGGGTCCTAAGTGGGTAAAGTGCGAGACCCGACCTGTGAGGTTATGGTTCAATGTGAATACCAAGTTTATCTGGTGAGATAAAATGAAATCCAGTCTTAAAGTACCGGACAAATCATTTTCATCATAAAGTTGCAAAATGGAAAAGAGATGGATCTAACTGTACGTGTCAGTCTAAATTTAAAACAGTGGTTAATATAAAGAGGAAGTAGGAGAAAGATAAGGTTTTAAGGAAAAACGCAGCTACACTGCATAATCAAGCATTAAAAGCAGAATATCGTAGCGGGATGGCCAAACGACAAAGACAAGATATGCTTTTGTACACAATTCTAGGTCGCGGGATTTTACCAAATATGCTAAATAAATAAGGATATAAGCCTCAACTAAAGTGATGTCGTATGATCAAAGCAAACATTGAGAAAGAATTCTATTCATTCATCCGTTTTAATCCATTCCTTTCTGATTGAATTTGCCATTGGTAGAACTTTATCCGAAAGGAATCGTATAAATTAGCATAAATCCTCAAGGTAGCAACAATAATGATAATGCATATATACAGAAACTGTTACATGAGAGAGAAAGAGTAAGAAAAATTCGATTATATTCATGCATAAATATATTTATCCGTAGTAGTAAGAATTTAGGCCTTACGAAGAATCAGGAAGACTCATAGATCCCTGATAAGATAGGATAACTTAAAAGTATGGAGCAAAATATATGCTAGAAGTTATTTGACCTTGTTTTCGCAACTTGGTCACATTGGTAGGAAGACTTAGAGGAACGCACTTTGTGCGGAATCCATTGTATGCATAATCATTTCCAAAGTCGGACCGTGGACGTGGTACATTCCCAGACGTTTCGCCGGTATCTTAGTGAGTTCTAACATTCGTAGCACCATATTACAACTTGTAAAAGAAACAAGTGAAGCCGATCATTTGACCAAACGTGTGCTAAACAGTTGTGGTATCTCCCCTTCTGCCCTGGCCTATTAACATTTCCTATATCCTCCAATCACGCCTTCGCTGTCACAATTCTTTACTTGCATAATTAAATGTGGTACCGTGTGCCCTATTAAGCGACTTTCATGAGAACCCTCCGCAATCCACGCTGGCCTTATTACCCCCTTCATGCTTGTGTTGAGAATGTTGATCTGAGTCTGCCATATTTTTACGTAGTCCTCCTCGAATTAGTTACCCAGCCGCAGATGAGGGTTAATAAAACCTCGAGTAGCAGATAGGGATAAGTACTTGAACCAGAGAGATCGCAAATGGATTCTATGGGGCAAGAGAGAGACTGTGGTAGGACCTAGGGAAGGATGACTGCGTAACAATATGGTAGACTTTGATCAACATTT